TAGCCGAATGTTGAAATCCAACATGGCGGCGCCCGTGTAACAAAAACAACATTTTCAACGTACAGTTTTATCCCTTTTAACAAATTCTGCCATTTTAATAATTGTACCAATGATAATAAATAAAATAGATCTGTTATATCACCTTTTTTCAAATTTCAGTTCAGTTCATCTTTAAAGTTCGGGAGGAGCACGTTCAGATAATTAACACGGATGGAGAGCACTCAGCAATCAATGATAAGAGGTGTATTCAGGTTAGGGAGAACTGGAGCAAAAAACTGGAACTTGACCAGAGTAAAAACACAGGAACAAGGGAAACTGAATGCAAAGAACCAGCAAAGTCATGAGGGAAAGGGGCACAATATAAAGGGAGCAGTGCGAATGTGAACACACTCAAGCAAACAAGGACTAGACAAGAACTAGACCAGGGAGCGGGACAAGAGGAGCACATGGCCAACAGAAACCGAGAGAGGAGCCATGTGCTCAGATACAAGATTAGATTAGATCAGATTAGATAGACTTTATTAATCCCACACTGGGGAAATTCCTGTGTTACAGCAGCTCAAGTAAAACATAAAAGTAAAATACAAAACATAGGAATAGGATAGAGTAAAATTAATAACAATATTAATGATAATAGTAATCGTAATAATAAACCAACTGTATTCACACAATTACCAACCTTGTTAACAGACAGTCTATAAACACAAATATACTAATAAGTATGCAAATAAATAGAGGTAACATATTGCACAGTTGGAGGTGACAAAATAATAAATAGATAAGAAATGTACATAGTGCAAAATATTGTCAAGTGCTACTCAAAGTTCAGCAGCAGCTAGCACTGCTGCATTGTGATGTTGTATTAAAAAGTCTAACTGCTACTGGGATGAAGGACCTACGGAAACGCTCCTTCTTGCACTGAGGGCGCAACAGTCTGCTATTGAAGGAGCTGCTCAGGGAGCTCACAGTCTCATATAGGGGGTGAGTGGTGTTGCCCATAATAGATGCCAGCCTGGCTAACATCCTCCTCTACCCCACCTCCTCTATGGTGTCCAGAGGGCAGACCAGAACAGAACTAGCCTTCATCACCAGTTTGTTGGGTCTTTTCCTATCCCTTTCTGTGCTCCCAGCAGGCTACTGCATAAAAGATCGCAGACGCCACCACAGATTCATAAAAAGTTTTTAACAGAGACCTGCACACACCGAAGGAACTCAGCCTCCTCAGCAGATGGAGACGGCTTTGGCCCTTCTTGTACAGGACGTCTGTGTTTGTGGACCAGTCAAGTTTCTTGTTAAGGTGAACACCCAGGTATTTGTAAGTCTCCACTATCTCAATGTCGACACCCTGGATATTCACGGGTGTAGTACCTGGCAGCCTCCGGCAAAAGTCAACCACTTGTCTTGCTTTGTCTTGCTGGCGTTGATGTGAAGATGGTTTAACTCACACCAGTTGACAAAATCCCCGATGACCTCCCGGTATTCCTGGTCATTCTCCTCTGATACCCTCCCAACAACGGCAGTATCATCAGAGAACTTATGCATGTGACAGCTGCTTGTGTGCTCATCACCACATCAGACACACAGTCCTGAAGCCTCACATACTGCGGTCTGTCAGTGAGGTAACTGATGGTCCATGCAGACAGGTGGTTGTCAACACCAGCTCCTAATAGCTTCCCCCAGAGCAGAGATGATTGAATTGTATTGAAAGCACTGGAGAAATAAAAAAACATGAACCTCACTTTGTATTGAAAGCACTGGAGAAATAAAAAAACATGACCCTCACAGTGCTCCCAGTGTTCTCCAGATGTGACAGTGCTCTGTGTGAAAGATAGATGATGGCATCTCCCACCCCTATACCTGGATGGTAAGCGAACTGTAGGGGGTCCAGTTCTGAGCTCACCACGGTTCTCAGGTGTCGTAATACAATCCTCTCCAAAGTTTTCATCAGGTGAGAAGTTAAGGCCACCGGTCTGAAGTGGCTGGGCTTCCTGGGATGTGTGTTTTTTGGAACTGGAACACACAAGGTCTTCCACAGGACTGGAACCCGCTCCAGACTCAGACTCAGGTTGAAGATGTACTGGATGACCTCACTGAGCTGATCTGCACAATCTTTAAGCATTCTTGAGAAGATTTCATCCGGGCCTGGTGCCTTCCTTGCCTTGATCTTTTTTTGAGCTCCTTCACCTGATTGACTGTTAGAGAGAGACTGCTAGAGGGTGGTATATAAGCTCCCAGGAGAGAAGGATGGGGGGGGGGGGGAGCGTGAAACATCCATAAATGAGGAGTCAGTGAACAGTTGTGAAGTAGGGGATGGTGATGTCTCCGAATCCCTGAGGGGGGATGAGTTGGTCCGCAGTGGCCAGAGAGGGAAAGGTTGAGTCACCGACAGGTCTGAAGTCTGGTTGGAGGTGGGAGGAGAGCGGGTAGAATCAAATCTATTGAAAAAAATATTTAATTCATTTGCCGTCACAGTCACCAGAAACAAAGCCTTTGCCACTGACTTTTTTCTGACCAGAGATGGTTTTCAGACCCCCCCAAACCTCCCTTGTGTTGTTTTGTTGGAGGCGTGACTAAAACTTATTCCTGTAACTCTCCTTTCCTTTCCTTTCCTTTCCTTTCCTTTCCTAATCTCCCATCTTAGGAGATTTTTGAACCCTTCTCAACTCTTCTTTTTCCCCAGATTTAAAAAGTCTTTTCTTCTCATTCAGCAGGGCTTTGAGTTCAGGAGTCAGTCACCCAAGGTTTGTTGTCGGAGAAACACCAAACCTTCTTCTTAGGTATGATGTTCTCCACACAGAAATTAATGTAGTCAGTAACACAGTGAGTGAGAGTATCAATGTCCTCCCCATGAGAGTTACAGAGCATAGAGTCTGTAGTCTAAAAGCAGTCTCTTAGTGCTTCACTGGCATCCTCAGACCATTCCCTCACATACCTAGTGGTGGGGGATTGTTTACTCACCAAAGTTATGTAAGCAGAACTGGAACATAACTGGATAACACCTCCAAGATGACCTCTGTGCCATCCGGTGTACTCGGATGCTCAGGAAGGGCCTCATTGACCAAAACAGGAATGGTCTCTGAGAACATAACATAACAGAAGCTGCCTCCTTGTCATTTCTGACTTATAACAAAAAAAAAAAGTCTAAAAGCTGCTATGTTACAGGGTGTACAGAACTAAGTTTTTATAAGCTGTCGAAAAAATGGACAGTGAATAAGACGTGAAGCATCAGCTGGAAGAATGAGTAAATTGTGGGATCCTGACACTCAGTAAACATGTGCAGTAAACATTTTGTCACTGGTAAGTCAAATATCCAAATGTCAGTTTTATATATATATATATATATATATATATATATATATATATATATATAAGCTAAGCTATTCTGTTGACGATTACGTTCCCCTCCAGTAGGTGCAGTTCTCAGAGTAACAACACGTTGCACTCTGTCTCAATTGCCTGTATCCACTTTTGTGTCTTTAAACTCTCATTTTTTGGGGTCGACAGCTTATAAAAACTTAGTTATGGGTTTTTTAGCTTGTTTGCTGTACACCCCATCACATAGCAGCTTTTAGACATTGTTTCATTTTTTGTTATAAGTCAGAAATGACAAGCAGGCACCTTCACGCAATACAGAGTCAATGGAGACGTTTGGATTGTTTCTCAGACCCTCAGACTCAGACCCTCCTGGGCCAATGGATTTGGAACCTCTGAACTCGGGCCCTCCTGGACCAGTAGGACTTGTGCTGTTAAATGCCCTTCTATCAGAGGTCCCAACACATGCCCTCCACTTAAACGGACTCGGCTGACCCTGGGATGACTTGAGCAGACTCGACTGACCCTGGGATGACTTGAGAAGACTCGACCCTCGAGGGATGCTAAGGTAGTCACTGCAGTTGGACTCTGGAGGTGCAAGAATCTGCCCATCCTTGCAATGGTACAGATAATTGGAAAAATTCCAAAAATCCGCAGTTGCTCTATCTCCCACTGATCATCCAGGCAGAGGTTAAAAGCATCCTTAAGGGCTGCATCATTGTACTCAAGGCCCTAAGCCATAGTCCTGAAGAACTGGACAAGACCAATACAAACAGAGACAGAGACATGTGCTCAGACACAAGACAAACAAAGAATCATTGAACAGAGACATGACAGACAACACTGTCAGGGCAGGACCCTGACGATAACATAATAAAATTCAATATGTATGCCACATTTCTGCCTCAATACCATGATTACAGTTAGTGTTACTACAGTAAATACATAGTAAATTTGTGGGTTGAAAAGCATTCTAACTGGATCAATCTATGTGGCACAATGTTTCTCCTGATTTCCGCATCAGTGTTGAGAATGTCAGCACGGTTTAATCTGACTTAAAACTTGTTTAAATCACCAAGACATTTGTGGTTGATATCGGAGAACTCTGCACCGAACTCGAACACTTATCACTGCGCTGTTTATTGGTAGCGTGTTCAAGACGGTCAGCAAGTAAATGTATTCGTTCTGAGCTTGCACTTCACTCTCATTTGAGTTGAGTCGATACATTTTCTGTAAGGCGCGAGGTTCAAACAAGTAATGTCTAAATGTATAATTTGTATAATAAATTTTTAATTTAGTACATCATTTAGTGTTCCATTTGTATCTGTACTGAAAGCACCAATGGATAATTCACCTGAGATCTTGAAGTAAAAAAAAAAAGGAAAACAAGAACGTTCAAACTGTCAACTCAATGTGTAACCTGTAGTAATCTTGCTTAAGTGCAAGATATTGTCAGCTGTATTTAATTCCTTCATGACCATTAATACTTTAAGACACATACACACACACTCAAAGGTAACCCTAAAAAGTTCCATTAAAAAACCTGGGTTATATCTGTGTCCTTGAAACCATGTGCCCTTAGGTAGCCTTTCATTGGTTTAAAAAAAATATAGCGATTCTTCCTGAGATAAGAAATATGTAGCTGATCAAAGCATTTCTGACCCAAATCTAGAAAGATATTTAAACACCAGCACTTCCTCATTCTCTCTCCACAGAAGATCAAAGATGGAGTCCCAAAACTCCTCCAGATCCTGCAAGAACCTCTTCATTGCAGTGGTCTTGATGACAGGTTTCTCAGCAATATTCTACATGTACTATGAGCCGTCCGTAAATTGGTTAAACTGCCCAGCCGTTCCCAAACATGATGACTGCGGAAACATCTGTATCAACGCTCTTAAGAGGCCAAATCAAATCCAAATAGTGAACAACACCTTAATGGTGAACTTCACCTCTCTCCGACACCAGTTAACACAAACAGAAGCGGCTTCATCGCAGGGAGACGATCTAGACACCATTATCCTGGTCTGGATGTGGCCTTTTGGGCATCAGTTTGATTTAGGACTCTGTAGTTCAATGTACGACATCCATGGCTGCCACTTGACAGTCGACAAGAGTCAGTTTAACAAAGCACATGGCGTTTTATTTCATCACAGAGACATCTATGGGGACTTATCCAACATGCCGAAACTGCCACGACCACCATTCCAGAAATGGGTCTGGATGAACATGGAGTCTCCCAGCAATTCACCAAAGCTTTCAAGTCTAAACAATCTGTTTAATCTGACGGCAACTTACAGAAAAGATTCAGACATCATGGTCCCTTACGGGCGAATCTCAGAGAACACAGGTGGAAAGAAACATTATGAAATCCCGCATAAGAATAAACTTGTTTGCTGGATTGTAAGTAACTGGAACTCAAACTTTAAGCGGTCAAAATACTATGCAGAGTTAAAAGAACACATTAGTGTAGAAACCTACGGAAATCACTTCAACAAGCGCATTGGTGATCAAGATTATACAGATGTGGTGTCCAGCTGTAAATTCTACCTGTCCTTTGAGAACTCGGTCCATAAAGACTACATTACAGAAAAACTGTACAGGCCTCTGTCTCTCGGCACGGTTCCCGTGGTCATCGGCCCACCCAGAGAGAACTATGAGGAATTCATACCAGCCAGTGCCTTTATCCATGTGGATGACTTCAAAACCCCCAAAGAGCTGGCTGACCATCTTAAGCTTCTGGACCAAAATGATGATCTGTACAGGCAGCACTTCACCTGGAGGGAACATTTTGTTTCAAGAGGAGGCTCCTTTGGTCTTGAGCACGCCTGTTATGCTTGCGATCATATCAGGAGAAACAAGAACTATAGAGTAGTTAATGATCTCAACAGCTGGTACTGGGGTTGACAACTGATGCTAACAATAGACTTCAGTCGTAGCAGATGCCTTTTTTGTTATGGGCGAAAACTTGGCTGTGAGGAATACACTGATACACACTTTACTTATTTTCAATAGTTTGAGGACTTTTTTTAATCTGAAAAACTGCTATTAAGATCAATGCAAATACTAATGCAAAACGGCATAGCTCCCTCTGGGTAGCACAAACCTCCTTGCAACGCTCAAATAAACCACAGACTGTGTGTGTGTGTGTGTGTGTGTTCCTGTACAGTAGTTACCCATCTATGACAACTTAACCCATCAATAGCTTACTTATTTGAGTAGGCGAAAAGTAGTTTTTTTGATTGCAGAGTTAAAGCAGCACTCAGTAAGAATTCCGTTTTTGTCAAACAGCGCCCCCTAGAGTCGCTGTGGAGCACTTGTTCTGTCGTGAATAGCACTCACGCAGAGATGGCTCTGCACTCACGGCCGGATCCCCTCCCCCTGTACACCGGCACCTGTTCAGTAGGATGGACGCTGTAACGAGTGGAAATAAGGTATGGCCCCTTAAAGAGCTGCGCGCGCCCAACACCACATGTATACGGCGCCGGGTTATTTCTGTTTGATGCTCATTTTATCAGAATTTTATTAGATCTGTTTTTTTGTGTGGTTTTTGGGCTCGCCGGCCCAAAGTTGCAAGGGTGGTTTTGCGGCTCACAGGCACCAGGGGGGTGCGAGACGACCACCATTCAACACGAAATCAGTAATATAAACATTACAATGACTCCAAAGCTGTTCGGTTAAGGTAAAAAAGTTACTTAGTTCACCTTTAAATGTATTGAGCGTTTAACACATTTAATGTATTAAATGTGTTAAGTACACTTGTTTTTTTGCCACTTCACTGAATGATGCATGCTTTTGTTACTAAGGCATAAGGACTTGGGTTCACACCTTGGTTAGGTCAGGGTTGTCAACTCTCACGCATTTGGCGTGACACACAGCACACAATCTCACGCCAAATTGCCAACCCTGCTTTTGATATGAAACAAAGTGTCTGCTTTCAAATTTTGTACGTTTTAATACGAAATTCAAACAATAAATACCGTTTTGGCGCACTTAATGTGGCATAACATATCGCTGTAGCGCCTCAGTTAAAACTAGAGCCGGTGAAAACAGACACACGGTCACATGTTTCATGGAGCTCTCATTAGTTCCAAGCACTTTTTGGTTAACATTGCAGCATAGTGCATTGATTATTACGTCAAAGACATTTATAGTATATTTTTAGTATCTTATATAGTATTTTTTTTTTTTTTTTAAACTGCAAAGGTAAAGCAGAAATTAAAATTATTGTGACAGATGTGAAGGGGGAGAATTTATACGTGCGTCACGTTTCTCGACAAGAAACACTTCCTCAAAGGAAACACCCGTGTATCCTCACTCATGACTCCTCTGGAAGCTCCTCACTCCTCGACTCCTCACGGTGCAGTTAGAGAATCCTGATGTCCTCTAAGATGGCTGAGCTCGATCGGTTTCCGGGTCACAGGCTGGAGGACGGAGGAGCGAGGAGGGATTTTGAGAAACACCCACCATCCTCAAACGAGTGGTTTTAGAGGCTTTGAGAAATGAGGTCACACTGCAATGTATATTATGAGAAAATGTTTTTTGATCTTTGATGCTTGTTAACATGTTGTAAGACGACGAGACTCCAAAAAAATTTGGAACCCTTTAAAGTAACACCATGTAACTTTTGCTCTCGGGGTCCCCCTACAGTTGGGAAACAGTATTGTCTTCTACTACTGTCGTAAACTCTGTCATGATTACACCAGGGGATACACTGCATTTGTTGACAAGCCGATGCCCCCGAACTCTGCAGAAGGAGTTCTCAGAAGTTATGAGTTCTCACGTCTTGGGCAGACTGCCTGCGTTGTGTGTGAAATGTCTTCATCCCAGATTCAGTGGCATATATATCAGCATGTCATATGAATATAATTTCATGGGTTTTATTTTTTTTAAACGCCAAAAGATCGCGTAGCTCACGTTTACAAGCCAGCGTAATCATATGCTTCTGTAGTCTGCGTTGTGTTGGAAATCAGTGAAGAACGACAGGAGAGCGCCGGATTGAGTCTGCGTAGAGAATGTATTTTAGCCGCCACGCCAGCTTCAGCTCACACATCAGTAACACGGCCAACAAAAATAACATTCCCAAATATACCAATCCACAACGTATGTTGTACATACAGACGGGCTCTCACGTCAGAATTTGAGGAAGTGGTGGGGGAAGTGAGGTATGCCATAAAGCGGTCGAATTTTGTAGTTCTTTTTGTGCTCGGGTTACTACCCGAACCCCGAAGTTACGTAGTGCCAGTAAAAGCGATACAGACACCGTCAGGCTATGGCAGACGTGTCATTCAACCTATTGTAAAGCCTGGAACACACCAAGCCGACGCCGACGAACTAGCGCTGATGAAAGCCGACTGTGTTGTCGCCTCTCATCGGGGTAAAAAGCTGCACTTGAACACACCGAGAGAACTACAGCCGACTGTCAGCTAGAATGCGCGTTTTGCGCCTGCGTGTAAATGAGACAACTGTCTATTTCTGCAGATATATTAGTCTATATTCGTCATTCAAAAAGGGAAACCGACGCTGCCGGCTGCAGATACACATACCGAAAACAAAGCAGTGCGTGCTTACCGTTTTGAATATCAATCCTGCTAAACACTTTCTTTATTCCACTCCGCTCGTGTTAATATTGAAATATTCGCCAAGGAACACTAAGGTAAGATGACGTAACATAAGAACAGCCTCTATCTGTAGAGTTTTGACTTCTTTGCTCGCTGTTTTGCTATTATTCTCGTGCATTGACTCTTTCACTAAGCTGAGCAGCCAATCAGAGTTCCCTCTTTCACCGACGGCCCGACGCCGATTCAACATGTCGAATCGGCCGAAACAAAGCCGACGAGGACCAATTTCAGCCGACGGCACGGAACCGTGCGGAACACACCGAGGAAACTCAGTCGGACGACGCACAAAAACTGCCCGACGGCCGACCGTCGGCTTGGTGTGTTCCAGGGCATATTGCAGGTTAGAGGACCCAACGAGTCAATGTATAGAAAAATAATGTAGGAACTAGATTTTCTTTAAAATATTCTTATAAATACGCTACAGAAGCTTCTGGAGTCGTTTTTGAGAGAAAATTTTACTTCCGCGTCTAAAAATGGGTGTGGCGGGCGTGACGTAACGGGCGGGAGAGCGGTCGATGCAAACAACAGGAAAACAATGGATCGCAATGACATTTCGGACGCTGAGGAAATACTTACTCGTATGACGGACCACAGCCATACAGTTATGAGCCTGCTATGCTGCCGAGAGAGCAGGACAGGATTAATGTTAGACAGAACGGTCAGAGACACATTGAGTTGTGGTGTGAGGAGAACGAGTGGAGAACAGGACAGGTGTCTTTGCTTATAGATACACGTTCGCTAACGATATACACTGTGCTCACAATATTGTACAGATTATTACCATCGTATATCAGGCCAGCAGACATTAGTATGTTTAGGGTAGATGTATACTATTAAATGTATAAAAACTATACTTGAGTATATTTATATTGTGAGTTACTAAAAACATACTCAGGTACATTTTTAAAACATATTTTTCACCTGGGTTATAACATAAACAGAAAATTAAAGATTTGAATATTTAATCAACCTAGTAATTTTGTTTTTCAATTACAAGTTGCCTCTATTTAGGGCATGACTACCTATATCACACTATTTGATGCCATTGGTACAGTATACGACGATCAATATTCTTGCTTCGGCATCCCATGTTGAACTCCATCATATCGCCGGGATGATAATCCTCCGATCTGAAGTGAACGCTACACACGATCTGAAGTGAAAGCTACACACGATCTGAAGTGAAAGCTACACACGACCGCGTTTCTCGAAGCCGATGCGGAAGAGAAATCCCGTCTCTTCAGCTGCACAAACCGCACCAGGCACGAAAGATATACAGATACACCGTCCCTTTTCTTGTTATGGAAACCTGTGGACTCGATGTCCTGACAGGCCGGAGTTTTTGCAACCTCCACAAACACAATAATTTACCATGACGATGATAGATTGAAATACAAAAACTACCGAAAACACACTGACTCACGGCCGCTCTCACTGAACACCAGCCTACTCTGCACTGAGCCGAGGCTGAGGCTCCCTAGCGTGACGTAAAATGACGCGATGTTGAAAAAAAAAGCCGTTTTTACGAGCAGTCCAAGAAACGCTCACTTTATCTACTAAATTAGTGCCCTTATGTCGTTTTAAAACATTTTAAATCCTGCACAGGGTTCCAGACTGCGACCAAATTGGTCGCATATGCGACCATTTTTTGAGAATGTGCGAGTTAAAATGTTATGTGGTCGCATTTGTGCGAGTGGACGCTTGAGCAACAGAACGCCGTTGTATCAGCTGCTGCAGTCCGTAACTTATGTTCAAAATGAACGAGTACATCATGAATCCATTTTCCAAACCGTGTTTTTGACTTATCCTGAATCACTACGGTACGCCTATAATAAGTGTTTATATTCGGACTATTTTATCCCGGGGTCGTCTCGGCTGCGGAGTAGCCCAGTGCCTGCGTGATCGCCATAGACATTAACGGAGAGAAGTTCCGGCTACAATGTTCTTCCGCAAGACACGTGCAGTTTATTTATTGACGAACGTACACGTCACGCGCATTGCACTCCGATGGTGAAACGCGCCAGTTACGAATTCACACATTAAGGCATATAAAAATTAAAAGGTCTCACGAAACACAGAGCCTCCTCCTCCTACGTCTTTTCAGCGGTTATATTTTCCTCTGTCGAGCGATTACTCTCATGATCACTCGACAGAGGAAAAGGAAATTATTATAAAATGCAGAAGGTAAGGAGTGTGAGATTTCTGCTTTTTGTTACAACTATAAACTTTGATAACGAAAGATCTGTATCAGTTTATTATAATACTCTAATCTTTTAAAATGTAATGCATACATTTTAATGTTTAATGATTTTTAAAAGATAGAAAGATGATAATAGATAGATAGATAGATAGATAGATAGATAGATAGATAGATAGATAGATAGATAGATAGATAGATAGATAGATAGATAGATTATGATTCAAATGTAAATAGATAGATTGTATATAATTCAAATGTAAAATGCTTAAAATTACAGATTAAAATTACTGTCCAAAATCCATGAAAATCCTGAAATTTGGCAATGATAATTAATATATTACAGGTATTTCTGCTGCAACACAGAAAGCCTTTGCTAGCCTTGGTCCATTAAAACCACTATTCATCAGC